TTCAGTTAAGTTAATTTTTTTGTTAAGTTTTTGTATCCCCTTTTAATTTTTTCCAAGTTGATTGTTGTGTTTAACTTAAACCACCCCATAACCAAGTAGTTACATAATTTTTTCTTCAGTTTTACTAAGTAGACACCTTGTGTGATGTATCATTATAGATGTACAGAATTCTTTACACTTCTAAACTTATTCACGGTACCTTAACTCTCAAGTTAAAAAGTTAATTAATAAATTAATCTCCTCCCAAATATAAGTTAGCGTGTTGTGTTTTTTTATAATAACAGGTAGATATTTTGAACACACCTGAGCAGATTTTTTGTAGCAATAAATAAAAACAATGATTAAAAATAGTGTAATAAACATGTTTTTAAGTACTTAATATGGTATCTAGGTAATACCTATTTTAAGAAGACTCAAAAGGTTTTGTTGAATGAACCAAATAAAAATGTACTGTACGCTGTATGTATAATAAATTATTCTCTGGAAACAATAAGCAATGACAACGAGTGACCACTGTCATGTAGTAACCAAGCGTCCAAACACATTAGTTGTTCTTAATGCTGTTAGTTCAATCCTATTTTTAACCTAGAATTTATTTCCTTGCATTTTAATACAAAGCTTAATCTTATATAGTTAGAAAATATTATTTTATGTAATCAAACCTACATTGAGGTAAATATTAAATAATAATATTCAATCAGATTAAACTAAATAACAAAAGTACTTGCACTTGAACGTTTATACAGATACGGTAGGTACATTAATATTATTTTAGAGAAAACAGGTATTGTATAGAAATGAAATAAGTATTTTGTAATACCATCTACTTTTAAATTTGTATTACTAGTCATATAGGCTTTAAATTATAAATAGAGTTCAACCACATTATTATTTTGAACTCTACATCACACTTCTTAAGACATATCGGTAAACTTATGAATAATAATTTAACAATTATCATTAATGTATAATAGTGGTTCTCAACCTTTTTATATGACGACACCTTAATTTAGATCTATAAAAATGGTGTCACACTTACAACAAGAAAAGAATTTTTGAAGAAGTAAAAATTTCAAACCTTTGTATATTAGCACATTTATATGTTAGTATTTAAATAAACAAAATTTTTAAATTTACTTAAAATCTAAATGGTTCAAAAAAAATATTGGTTTATAAAGGAAATTAGTGTGATACTTTCAATTGGTGAACTGATTATAGGTCTTCGATTCATGGAAAAATAGTTGACAAACTTATGTGTAATTCAGTTTCAATATCATTAAGTGTAGATCTTTTTTTTGGTTTTTGTTATTTCTAATATCAAAAATTCTGATTCACACATGTATGATAAAGAAAAAGAAAGTAAAATTTGCAATGCTTTTTTGTTCACTCCAAGCATATTTTTTTTTTGCAAAGAAATCCAAAATGAATCATTTTCAGACTAATTTAGATTTTAACGTTGTATTTAATGATAATTTAAATAAATGTTCTTTTTTCACAGAAATGATGTTTATATTTCTTATATCTTTTTCTCTGCATGAACCATAATATCATGATATAATTATTATCAATATATTATATTATTTATACTTTGAAAGCATACAGTTTAAACTATTAATATTTTTGCGATACACGCCACAGTAATACGTGACATACCTATTGAGAACCACGAGTATACAATGTGTACATAGAAGCATATCAAAACATACAGAAAAAAAAAAATTAAAATTACTCAATTTATCTTATTTAAATATCATAAAATATTATTGCTTGTAGTAATTTTGTTTTACTTTCAATTCTAGTACATATTTACATGCTATCACAACCTTAGTAGTTATGATTTTGTTTTTAAATTTCCTAGGACGTTAAACAAAGATATACATAACATTTTTCTTGTTACTACCTAGGTAAAACGTTGTACTAGTTTCATTTTGATAACTTTCTATTTTTATTTTTTCATCCAAATTAAAAACAACAAAGATAACGAATAACAATTTTAAAATTATATTTAATAAATATACCATAAGTATCACATTTTACTTAAATATACACAAGATTTATGTGTCGATAAAATTGAACAATATTTAAAACAAAATGTACTAATTATATAATATTTGTCACATTTTTTTTAAACGATAATTATAATAATAGTAAAGATGTTTGGTGTAAAAATAAATGTACATTGTACAATATTTAATTTCGGTAACTAAATGAATGATTAATAAAATCAATACATGAGTACAAGTAGTACGTGAATGTAATAGATTTACATGAACATTTTATGTGTAAACTGATAAAATTAAATTATTAAAATTAATCTTATAGTTAAAAAATAAAAATAGATTTTTATCTAATACCTGTTTTCAATTACAAGAAATTCAAAAAATATTTTAGTATGTTATCAATAAAAAATAGTAAAAAAAATATGTATCTAGTTATAAAATTACAAATGACTTGTATTTTAATCACTATACTTTTGATTTGATATTTTAATATTGATTAATGCTAAAACATATTGCATTATTTATTTAATAGCTAAATGCATGCTTGAAATTTAGAACCTATACTATCAGAATATATCACTATTACAACGTAATAGCTGTCATAACTCACAGGAATAACATACAAGATGTTATTCATAACATATTTATGATTATCATACCCACATAAAATTAACAATTTAAAAAATTCTAAAAAAATATACCCATCACTTGTTGAATTTTGAAATTGTTTAACCCTTTTAAACTAAAAAGTTTAAGTATCATAAAAGAATAACTAGACCAAGGAAATTTTACCTTATGCTTTTATTAATTGTGGACTTTTTTCCTTTATTACTTCGTCTCTTTGGTTTAACTCGTTCGTCATCGCTATCATTTTTAGATTCATCATAAACAGTCTTAAAGCCTTCTTGTATACGCTGTCGAGCTATTCGAGAACTATTCCTACTACTATAAGAATAAGTGCTTTGGTGTGGATTCATACACAATGCTAAATGTTTTGATAATAAGAGACACTTTACAGGTACAAAACATTTGGGACATTCAACTTCCTGAGTTGATCTTGTGATATTAAAATATTCAGCCATATGTACTATGGTTGGAGTGTGACAGCGTCTACTATAATTATAACTAAATCGTCTCGGATCGAGAACTCTTAATTTTAATTCCTTATGAATATTAAATATAGTTTCACACAGCAGCTCATCAATTATTAAAGTTAACATCTTTCTAGATTCAAATGTAAAATTACTCAACAAAGACTTCTTTACAATTCTTAATTCTAAAATATAAGCACATTCTTCTTCACGGAAGTAGTCTTCATCTTCGTCGAATGATAAATGAAGCCGCATAGCAGTATTGTCCATCTATAATGATTCAAAGGATCTGAAAATTAAAATAACATTAACCTTTTGCTCATATTTTAATATTTTATAGATAAACCAATCACAGGAGTTGTAATAATTTGTATATAATACGTCTTATTTGTAATAGCTAATTATTTTAGTTAAATTCTTAAAAAACAAGTATTTAATCCTAAATTGTTAAAAAAATAATAGCTGGTCAATGTTACTTAACAGTATTTAAGTATTATAAAATATACCATTATTAAAGTTTCCCTGTGTAAATGTGTACCTACAGTCATGATTTTTGAATAAATAATTATCATTGCTACAACTTTCAATAACTTAAGAAACCAATGTTTAAGAACCAATTAGAATAATAATTTAAGTGTTTGGATTTATAATATAATTAAAACTTAATAAGAATAATACAAATTAAAAACTGGAAGTTACTTTTTACTGCTGATCTGACTATTATAAATGTATAATAATTTTGAATTTTTGAAAAAAATTCAATATCTATACCAATTATAACATGTTATATAAATCAGTAAAGGAATATGATATTTGATAAATAATTTAATACGTTAGTTTAATAATCGAATATGGTTTTAAAATATTATAGTTTAAAACTCAATACACCATAATTTGTTTGTAAAATCTCATATATTTAAATTTATAAAAATATATAGTATTAATAGAATAAAATTGAATTTATAGTTTTACAACATTTAAATATTTTTTAGTTCAAAAACAGTGAATCTGATACAAATGTTTACATAAAAATTGTTATTTTTCTTTTTTAAAACATGGATAAATTATCAAGATCAAGATCTTAAAAATACTTATAATAGTATCCTATAATATTACCAATTTGAGTTAAAATACAAATTCATTTAAATCTACGGTAATATTTTTTCACACTTTTAATTTTAACAAAAAATAAAAATATTTTGAAGTTTCAATTAGTTTTGAGTAATAAAATAATAATATTAAACTTAACATTTAAGTGCAGACATAAAAAAATATATTTATAAAAACCAATATTGTTTAAAAGATAGTCTATAAACGAACAATTCAATTCTGAGCCACCAAGACTATAATTTGTTTTATATGAATACTTTTCATAGTATTTAACATAGAAAAATATCTATTATTCATTACAGGGGTATTTAATCAAGCAATCACAGTTACATGGAAAATAAACTGAACAGTGAAAACGTGATGTATAGTAAAACAATTACTTAAATATACTTAGAACATTCAATCAACAAATTAGATCATCAATAATAATGACTAACAATTTAATACCATCTATATAATATTTGAAAACAAATTAGTAAAAAAGTAAAAAATATAATTTACAGCCTTCAGTGAAATGGTTAATATTAAATTGTTTGAAAATATACATCCTAAAATTATTGAAGTTATATTTTAGTTTTACATTTTTGAAAGTTTAAAAAAATATATCCCAGATTTAATTAGATTGGTTGTTCTATTTTAAAATCGACAGTTGATAAACATGTAAAAATTGTATTCATATAAGTACCTACTTAAAATAAATTTAATAAAATACTTTAAAAACTAAGCAGTGCTGTCATTAATAAAAAAATTATTATTATTTTTGACCGATACATTAGGTATTAAAAAACAGACATGAGACATAATATCATTAAAACAAACAATAGAAACATTTAGCGAGAATTTCTCATTAAATAAAATCTATAGGTAATATAATACTTAATACTAAACATTATTTTGTTGACATTTAAAGTGTATACATACTAATGCAGGTAGTAGGTTCTAAACAAAAAAATTAAAAATTTAAGATTACACTAGTTGTAAAAAAACATTATGTTGCACACAGAATGAAAAAACTTACTAGCAGTTAAAATTAACTTATACTTTAGATTGTATTTCAGTAATTTAGGAACCGTCAGTACATTTTTGAACATTCAGTTTATTATACAAACACTCTAGCTTTGCTAGTAATGATTCGTTAATAAAACGTGCACTTTCTAATGGACAGTAATCGTCACCTGTGGACAAAGCAATCGTAATGGCAGCTGGTTCATGTATTATAGGTAAAAAGTTGAATACAATATCCATAGATTTTGCAATATCAGCTATGTCTGTATGATGGTTAGGTAATTCAATATTGTCAATCGTGCAACCAGCATTATGCACTATCAACCAGTCAATAGTATCGTAATGTTTCAATAACTCATTTACAATGAACGTTAAATCTTCAGAATTTACGGCAGTTAAATTTTCAGTCGGATACTCATCTAATGATTTTCCATCATCGAGATGCATGAACACAGATTCTAATTCTTGCAACAATATTTCTCTAGAACGAGAACATTGAAGTAAGCTGTTAACGTCTTCTTTATTGGATGGCGAATTAAACGTGTAAATCTTATGTAGATTAGTATAGAGATTTGCTTTGTCGTACATGGATAGAAACGGATTGTTGGTAGAGAAAAAGTCACAGTCGAAATCTAAAATGTAATGAGGGTTTTCTCTAGTATACTCGATAAACTTATTACGCAACAGCTCGAATTTTTCCTCGCCATCGTCAAAAACCGAACTACACATGGTGAACACGAACAACTTGATGGTTTTTATGTTAATGAGATCATTTTCTAAACAGTAGAGGCCTTCGCTGAGATAGAAATCACTAGAATTGGTCAAACGTATGGCGCCAGACATCTTGTGCTTGCCGATACTGAACACGATTTCGCCTTCATTGAACTGCCGTGCCCAGGGAGGCTTTACCCAGATAATTTTATCGAAATGGCCGGCGTACGCAGCCGGCAGTATCCAGTTCTCGATGCTCAGCGAATCGAACAACTGTTCTTTTTCGTACACGTAATCGGCTGGCATGTCTTTTGGAATGGACAAGTCCGGATGCGAATCGAAATGCAACAAAACATTGCCGTACAGGGGCAAGTGTTTGGAACCTATCTCCCGGTAGATATACCGCAACGCGTCGTTGTGGTCGTCGACCACGTGAACGGGCATCGTCGAGTGTTTCTTTATTTTGTAAACCATGTCTGTCTCTAACAATTTATAAAACGAACGTTCAAAAAACGGTTAACCCGGTCTCTACGAGCGTAAACTGTAGCGCTGTACGGACGCGATTCTACTTACTATAGCGAACGTGCTCGTGCGGACGGAGTGACACAGTGTAGGACGACGGTAAGTACGCAACTGTCGTCGGGGCACGACTGGATTTCCAGCGGATCACCACACACCGCGGCGGTGCGACGTGCGACGACACAACGTTCAGGCCCGTTCGGTGGTCGGCGGCGGCGGCGGCGGCCTGGAGACGGATGGCCAAGAGCGGCGGGCGCACGGACGACGCCGGACTTGACGGGAAAAAAGGATGGAAAGTCTAAATCTTAACCCAAAACCGACGGTGTGACTGCCGCGATCGCGTGTCCGGGACGGGTGGTGGTACGTCCTGCGCGACGAGCGAATGAGGGAGGGGGTGCACGGACTACGAAACGGATAGGTATGTCAGCGAAAACCGTACACCGGTCGGCGTTGCGCATCCCCACTACTTTCCGCGCGTCACGTACCAAAAAACGTTTTTCGTGGGACAAACAATGGAGAGATAACAGGCGGTGGTTTAACGGATTGAGCGCGCGGTAGGGTGACGAACGACGGTAACCGGTCGTGATATCGGCAGCGACTGTGGATTACGGCGTGTTTTTGTAGTTCGTGCTCGGTAATATCGTCAATATCGGGATATCGTGTCACTACAGTTAACAACGCCGTGAATCGTGATAGTGCGGAAACGACAACTACAACTGCAGTAGTCGCAGTAGACGATAGTCGTTGTAGTGTCGAATGGTGGTGCCGGAGGTAGTGGTGGTAGCTGCTGTTGTGGTGGCGATTGTGGTAGCGGCGGCGGCGGCGGTGGGACTGTCGCGGTATTCGACGTTCGGTGTAAATGCCAACGACAAAACATCACGACGCTGCGCAGCAGTGGTACAAACGAAAAAATAAAAAACCGAATCGGAAAAATAATATTTGATTTACACGCCGCCCGCCGAACAAACTATTTGACGCAAATGTCTAATACCAGTAATACCTACTTGTTGCTCAAATGTATTATAACCGTAAAAATCCTAATCGCGTAATGATAATATCATTATATTGCATGGTAATATTTGGTATGAAAAAGACGAATATTCACGGTTTACAATTATTGAAATTGTTATTACCAAATACTAATAATAAGTCGTAGGTTCCATTCTCAAGTCTTGGTATTTTTACGTTTTGTCTTACAAAAAAAAAAGCCGTTTTTGTCGTTTAATCGTCCGTTTTGTTGTTATCTCCTCAAATAAAGTGTTTCGCCGAAAAAAACCTAACCTAAGCCCTAATAAAATCTATAGTTAATTACGGTATTTCTATATTGGGAGGTGTACGTACTAAATTAAGATCTCTTGCAAAAAATACAAAAAACTATTTTAAAAAAGACTCAAAATACCACAAAAAAGATTTATACAACATAAAATATATACTACTAGTAAAATAATATTTTACAAAACATCAGTTTCAGTTCTTTAAATAACTAAAAAGTAAAAATAATCTTATTTTTAAAGTACCAACTTTGTACAAAAAATTAAACTGACAGATACAAAACTTATAGCCAAAACAATATTATTACAACGATAATATCCAAATGATTTTTCCGAAGTATTACTAATCCAACTGCTATTACTTTGAATAAAAATATTAAGAAATGAAATAGCTACAGCTGAGTTTACATTTTCTAAATTGAAAATTATAAAGAACTATTTAAGGAATTCCATGAGGCAAGAGTGACTCTCAGATACCACGTTATTAAATAATATAGAAGCTGGAGAAACAAAATTCATGAACGTTTCACAACTTATTGATAAGTGATAACGAATTTAAAAGTTAGTAGAGTTAAATATTAACTATAAATACATATACAACTGTTATTTTTTAATAAATTATTAATGAATGTATACAAAACTATAAAAAGACTAATAAAATACACTATTAAGGTGATACTGCATACACCTAATTTTAATGTTTAATATTTAAACCGAATAAAAGAAAGGGGCCCTTTAACTTTATCGCGTTGGAGCTGAATTTTTATACTTACACCACTGGTAATAATAATTATAATTATAGTTGTATAGATTTATATAATATATTGTATTCTTTTACTGCATGATTCTATGTATATATGTATAATGTTAGTTGTTACAATAGGTATATATTATATGAATAACAAATATACATTTATATAATTACATTAATTTGTTTAGTTATACAGTAGACGCCGCAGCCGCTTATAAGACTCACGGATATAAGGTTCAATCGCTTATTGGACTCAAAATCGTCTGGAACGGTCCGGACGTATCCAAATACATTAAAAAAAAAAAAATCGGTTTTAAGACTCAACACTTCGGTTATAAGACTCAAATTTCGTAAAATAAATAGTAGAAAATAAACTTTTTTGGTTATAATTTAGAAATAAATTGGTTTTGAAAAATGAAATAATATTCGTGTTGATTATTTCTAGTTTCTGTTAGTACCTTATAAAGTATAATAATTTTTATCGCAGATAAAAGTTCACATTTATCGCAACGATAATTATAACGATTATAATTTTAGATTTTTATCGGGATTATTAAATTTATTCAATAATAAAGTATGTAATATTATGTAATATGTGTTAATGTATTAAAATCAAAGCAAAATATGTAGTAAAATAAAATTTATAAATACGTAATTAATTTTTTTTTTTCCACTTCGCCTATAAGATTCATTCGGTTATAAGACTCACTTTGTGCTGGTCCCAAAGTGAGTCTTATAAGCGGCGTCTACTGTATATATAAAAAAAATGTTATGTAATTAATAATTGTTAATTATATTATCTATTCATTAAATTTGTATTTAAAAATGTGAACTCATGGCCATGGGCTCTTATACAAACATGTTTATTGAAGATAATTATCTTTTTAAATTTCCAATTTTTATAGTAGAAAAAAATTACATCAATATTCAACATTGTGGTAGCAATACATTTGGAGGAGCTAGATGACATTTTAGAGTTAAGAAATTCAAAAGTATTTAAATAAAATACGCAAAAAAGGTTTTTGACAAAATCTGTTTTTTTTTTTTTTTGTTATAATTTAAAAACAAAAACAGTTGTAACATATGAAATATTAATGTCAGTGTTTCCCAAAGAGTGTGCAGTGAAATTTGAAAGGTGTGTCACGAAAAGTTGAACTTCATAATATACATTTGTATAAACCATTTATGCTTGGAAAGTAGATAATATTTATCCAAGTGTGCCGTGACTTATAATAACTAATAATAATATATCGCAATGAAAAAGTTTGGAAATGACTGGTTTATACTCATGTAAGTATTGATCGTAAAATACTACCAATCAACAAGCACACTGGCTACAGAGAGTGCGGTAACACAAATATGAGGGTGCTAAAATCAATAATATGTTTATAATTGTAGGCACTAACACAAAAGGAACTTTTAAAATTTTAAGTCTATTCAATCATTATTTGAATATAATACCTGAAAGCAATAACGTCTTTATTCTAAAAATAAAAGTTTAGTAAATAAACAGTATAATATATTTAAGTGTATTATAAATATAGATATTATTGATCACCACAAATATCATATTAGAAAGGAAAACACTCTGTCACTATGGATACTTTAGTTAAATTATAGTTATTACACGTGTTATTTTTGTTACATAGTTTACGTGCCATCAATAATTAATAAATTAAATTTTATTATAGTTAATAGGTATACTAGGTAGGTGTAGAAATTATTTATAGAGCCAATGGCCTAAAAGTTTGATAAATAAGCATTAAACGTAGACCACAGCTTTCAAAATAATTATTTAAAAAGTACCTATCGAACTCTTAGACTTCTATAGCTATATAATAGTATTTTGAAAACAATTAAACTTTATACAGCGTTCTAATAATATCTTAAATTAAATTTTTTTACCATCCATAAAATATTTCCAATAACTGCATTTATTCGTCAATTTAACTTTAATTTAACCACTTCAAAATTTAAAATACCTATTTATTTAAATTACAATAAACTATATTATCGATTGACCTGGATTTAATTTTTAATTAATTTACTGTATATTTGTACATTAAAAACTACATACCGAAAATCCAAAGTTTGAAAATATTTAAAACTTAAGTGTATAATGCAACTGTGCGACTGTGCAATGGCTACAGTGGCAAGTAGTAACTGGATCGCACTGTTAATTTTTAAAGTTTTAAAGATAAACAATACAATAAATTGGAAGACCAGATTATTAACAAAACATTTTCGTTATCAGTAAGCTTTTTATTTTTAGAAGCTCTGCGTTAAATGCATGCAGAGCATTGGTAACGGTTACGAAAATGAATAGCAACAAAGATAATACATAGATATTAGGTAGAATAATATACGGTGTACACGAAATAAAAATAATTCTCTTCAAAATAAATTAGACATTTGATAATTTTCCCTCTCTCTTTTTTTCAAAATCTAAATAATCTTTTTCGATAAAATGGATCACGGAAAAAAAAGATAGTAGGTAAGTTGAGTCTCAAAAAAAAAGTTATAGATAAATCAAATCCTAAGAAAAAACAAATTATATACCTAATATCTAATAATCTTGATTAGAATTTAGAAGTCAATAATTAATAGACAATAGTTGTATTTTATAATTATGGTAAAAACTGTATTAATTATTAATTAAAAAATTAGTTTTTGTTATAATAGTAATATATTATAATAATCAAAGGTAGGAGGAACGGATACAACATATCAACATATCTACTAGGTACTTATTATTTTATGGGACTTAATTCAACACTTCCAAAATGTACAAAAACGATTGCCGACCCAACTTACCAGCCTCTTAAAATTTAATAATCTAAAACTTACTTTATGACTTGTGACCTATAGCTGACGAATGATGGTTATCAGTCAAGCATTTAAAAATTATATTTTAGTATTAAATATGTTATTTATACATCATTTTGGAAATTTTTAAATACGTCTCCCTGTAAGTACCTACTGTATTGACTGATTTTTATTTCATAAGATAATATTATATAGCCGAACAAATAGTGTATTGGTTTATTTAAGTGTGAATAATCAATATATTGTAATTATTGATATTTTATAAAATATGCGTTAATTTTTTTTTTTAATATGGTATTTAAGACTTACGAGAGTGTAAGTGGTCCGTAGAATATAGTTAAGGATTTAGTGATCCATGAAGTCCAAAAGGTTGATGACCATTGAGATGATAATGTAGGTATAATTCCTATCTACACACACTATATTCAAAATTAAAATTAAAAAAATAAACTGAGAGCAACCAATTTTCTTTAGATGGTGAATTAGGTACGTTAAAAAGTATTTCAAACACCTATTATTAGGTAAATCTGAATAGGTGGATTGTTCAACTCGGTCGAATTACTTGGAAACCGAAGTACCTACACTAAAGCTGTAATACATCAGGAAAGCGTTAGATTTTGAATTTGTTTATTATTTTTCGGGAGAATCTAGTATACACAACTTAATTAATATAAATATAATTATTTAATTTACTAGTTAAAAATTAATCGACCGTCAGATCAAATTAAAAACGATTCAAGTATAAATATGATTATGGTTTTAAATGTTTATTTAAAATTTGCGAGTTTTAGTGACCTTGAGTTTAGGAGATTAAAAGCTCAAAGTTAATAAATATTAATAATTGAATAATCAAACTATTGAATTATTTAGTAAAGATTTGCTTATATTTTTTTATTAACATTCATAAATGAATACATCGAGACAGTATTTGTTTTATTAAAGATTATATTTTTTTAAAACATATGGATGAATTTCGGAAAGGAATTAATTATTCCACAATTTTAAAATAAATAAACGAACAAGTATATAACGTATAACTTTGTCTTGATCAATACCTAATTATAAACAGAAATATCAAATTGTAGTACAAACTACAAATTGATATTTCGGGTAGAAATAATAGAAACTTAATAAGTATAGAATACTTAATAGAAACTAATAATTTAAAATTCGAAACTATAATATTGTCATTAATTAACTTATTGCGAAATTTGATTAATATTTTAAATATGTATTTAAAATTGCTAATCTTCTCAAATTATAAAAGTATAACATTATTGGTAAACTTTATCATATGACTAAAAAAATAATGGGTGACCCATCTATTCATTCAATTTTTTAAGCATAGCTATAAACATTTAAAAATTTATACAATTTTCTGATATTCTTGTATTTAATAAAATCATAGCAAAAATACTTGGCACTCTGTAATACTTAATTTATTTTATCTACCCACCCAATTTTTAAGGCAGTTAAATTAAACTGTAATGTTTGCTTTGTACCATTAAATTAAAACATTAAAAAAATATTTGAAAAATAATTGAAGTTTAACACTTATTTTACTTTTACATTAACCGTCTTTTTTGGGATATTGGTATGTTAACTTAAGAATTTATAGATACTACTAATTAATAATAAAACTAATAATGACAAGATATTGATTTTACTAACTTTTTTTTTTAAATGGGCATATTGGAATATACTATACAGTATCCATCCTTCAAAATTAGTTGATTTAAGTACAACAGTCAACAATTCTAATTAATTATTTTTGCATTTAATTTTAATATTATATGTATTACAAGTTGCAACATATAACCCATGTTAAAATTTTCATATTAAGTGGTTTAGTTTAATATCTTTTACAGCTATAAATATCATAATAAATATAGTTCTATACTAATTTTTATTTAACCTACATTTATATTGAAAATGTTTGCCTTGATACTCAATTAATTATAAAACAGTACAGCATTACCAATCATAATTATGAATATAATTAATGCAAATAATAATTGTTAAAATTCAAATATAACAGAAAAAAATAAATACAAGAACTATATTATATGTAAAAAAAAATAACATAACTTGTTTGCTAACTCCTGAAAAATAAAATGTTATACATTTGTGAAATACCTCTTTTAAGTTATATAACCAGGTTAAACCTAAAAAGATAAATAAGCAAAAGATACATTTATATAGAAACAATTAAATAATATTAATTACAAGTACTTGGTAATATCTTGTAAATAGTAATTCCAAAAAAATAATTTTACAATCAAATCAACATTTTCTCAACAGTTAAACTTAAATTTATAGCTTTAAATACTTCCTATATCTTTATAATGTAACTCACGGTAAAAAATAAACAAAGTTTCAAGTTAGAAAAAAATTATATATATATACTTGAAAGAATATTAAACATAGTAATACTACTAGATACTCATGTTTGGACAATTTTTTTGCATTTTTTTTAGTTCTCTTCTTCCAATAATGCAGATAACATAAATTGCTTATAAAGTTTGTCAATAATCATTTCTGAAGTTTCACAAGGCGTTACTGTATAATTTTTAGAGTTACATTGTTCTTCATCCTTTATAAGACAATTATCTTTCTCTTTTGACATAAACTGCTCAAACTTGATTTTAACAGCCATGACATTCAATCTATTTATTTTTAACTGATTACGGGCAAAAGTAACTAAATCTTCATCTAGTATTTTATTGTTGTTTTCAACAGGATTATTATTTTTTGGTTCACATACATCAATAGGGTTTTTATTAGTGCTATCTTCAAGGTTTTTATTAGTGCTATCTACAGGGTTTTTATTAGTGCTATCTACAAAGTTTTTATTAGTGCTATCTATAGGGTTTTTATTAGTGCTATCTACGTCTTCTTCTATTATCCTTAACAGATCACAAACAGACTTATATCCTTTAGCTTTAGCTACTTGTGCCAACTGTCCGGTTGGATCTTTGCCCTGATCACGTCTGCAGATACTACAGTTACAACGTCCACGACATGGTGGACAAGCCCATAACTTTATATAAAAAATAAAAATAAATCAATAAATTTATACTTTAATAATATATTTATAAATATAAATTACCGGATTTAATAAAGCTTCAGCTACATCTTCACCATACCGTCTGCCCAAACAAAAACCACAAAACATACCCCTCATTCCTTTACAGTTCTCATGTCGACAGTATGATTTTTGATCCATAGTTTTCTGCCTAAAATTTTTTTTTTTTTTTAATGTAAATACTAAAAATCAGAATTTACTCAATCAAATCACACAATGTTCTTTGTCATCAATAAGTAACATATACTTTAGTTTAAATAAAAATATATTATGTTTAACGGCATTAATCACTTTTTTTTTTTTAAATTTATATTTTTGAATTATGTTTGAAAACTACAGTTTATTAGTAGCTAATATTTTTGTTTTAATCTTAGTTTAAATCATAATTAAATGTTTATTTTAAAATTAAATCTAAAAAAACCTTTATTTAGTAAATCAATGTTAAAATTAAAAATTCATCATATTGTCATTTAATATTCAAAGAGTTAAGTAAGATTTAAAATATTGGCAAGAAACCGATAAGTTGATTTAATAGTCAAACAAGTATTAAAGTGGTAAAATAGATCAAAACATTCTGTTAATATTGAATATTTATTATAACAAATTTATTGTTTATAAAAACTTAACATATCACAGAAAATTTAAAAGAAACAATTCAAACTTTAGCCAAACAAATAGAAATTATTATCGCTAATAATAAACCACAGAAAATCAAAAATCTTATAGTTTATTGTAAATAAACATAAAATTATTTCCTATTTGTTTTTAATATAATTTATTCAACATAACATTTGTTATTCTTCTTAATAAATCTTATTTCAATACAATTATTTAATAAAATAGTTTCATAATATGAAATCATTTTCATTTTTCAATAAATTATAAGTTACAACTTATTATTTATAATATAAATATTACCTGCATTGGTGACAAGTGGTCCCTTCTTTAGAATCATATTTTTTTCCAGCCGAGCGGTAAATTATGTTGTCTAACATTTCTTTTGTTACTTGAGATACATCCAATCGAGATACTTTTCTGCTAGATTTTTGTCTTGAACCCTGATCATCAAATATAACACAATTAAAAATATACTTTATGCCAACATTTATTAGTTTTATTTAACTGTAATAATCTTGAATTACTTTAGATTTACTCAAAGAAAACTTTATCTGATAGTTGTATTTTTTTCGATGTTTTTTGTTTTTTCCATAATTATTGTCATTTTTAGAATCATAATAAATTTGTTTTCTGAACAGAAAAAAAAATTATATATAATAAATAACATATGTTAGAAATGAATTTTGTTCATTTTACCTTTAATCGATTAATTAAATAAAATAATAATAGAAATAGAATAACATTTTATTACTAACATTAACTTAATGTTAATGCAAATAATTGCATGTAAAAATCTAAACAAATAACAACTATACCTATAAGTTACGAATTCTAAATATTGTATACAAGTCTTAATTTTTTTAAATATTAGAATAATTGATTTAAAAACTTCTAGCTTATAAATAAAAAAAGATAAAATATTGAACTAACATATTTTTGAATAAATAATTTATTGATTAGTCAACTACCAAATATATAAATCATTTTTAAATGAAAAGGAAACTAAATGATTTTTTCCCACTAGTAAAAAATTATCTATTAATACCAAAAAGTACTTTTTAACATATATACATAATTTTTTATTGTAACCTTTATTAAGTAAACTAAAAAACAATAAATACTAAAATATCAAAAAAGTAAGTAAGTGGGGGTATAGCTTTGCGGTATATATTAAATAAGGTGTCAAGTCGGTAACTGTAATGATGGATGTGTTTAATTTAAATTCAATGATATATTAATGTGTACAAAATGATTCTAAGCAGAGACAGCCTGTTAGCCTATATCACTAACTATATTTAGTTTTTTAATATAGCTATTAAAGTTATCTATTTAACATAAAATATCACAGTTGGTTGATTAAACTTCTCTAAAAACAGCATTTATTATACTAATAGTATTTAATTATTATGATAATTAATAATTTATATTTATATCATATTTTATTATTCTTATTAAATTTTGGATTAATAATACTTTAGGTACTGTAAATACCACAAAACAGTGTAAATGTGTGAATAGGTTTAAAGTATAAATATTATTTATAAAAATCAAAGAATTTTAAATATTTCTTTGAATATAGTAAAATTTACATGATCATTTTCAATACAAGATTTTTACTACTCATATTTTGATAAAAATTAAAATAACCCAATACATTATCATTCATAATGTTCTAACCTTTGATTTTAATAAAAAGAAATTCATTCTAATACCTATTTAACCTAACATAATATAATGGATTCTGCTGAATACAAATTTATTGTTGTATGTATGTAAAACGGAGACAATTTGTGCGGGGATATGGTGTTATTTTAAGTTTACGCGAATAATGTTTTTAAATTATAACAAAATGATTAACATCATTAAAGTACATGATTTCATCAACATTTTAACAATATACACAAAACATAATTATGTTTCTATATTTTTTTTATTTCCAATATGAATTATTTAATAGTTTTTAAATCTTAGAATGTAAAAAATAAAGATTTCATACATTTTTGACGACAAAATGTACACATTTTGTAAATTTTTGTGATTCTTACAAAAACTAAATGTGTATAAATAAAATAATATGCCTGCTTTTTATTTATTATATTTCAAAAATTTGGCTATTAACTGTGGGATATTTATGTTTGTTACTGTAGGTTTTTGGAATATGTTTTTTGTATACAGTACATGGTTTCATTACTTATCCAAGAGCTAAAAATACTGGCTGGAGATGGACCATCAGTGGAAACGCAAAATTGTGGAGGCTTTAAAGCATATTGTATACTTTAAATATTTTTACCACCACCCTTAATAAGTAGCAGTGGCCAAAGGACTTTCAAACATGAAGCAATTGCTTCAAATAATCCTATATCCCGCCGTCACTGTGGACCATAGCACTATTGACAATTATTGTAGACACACATAACTAGAGCGGATTTTTAGGTTTTAACATATTTTTATTGGTTTTATGCAGCTTTATGAGAGTGAAAAACGTGGACGATTTATCCATCAGAGTTCGTAGGAAAAAATTTATTTAGCATATTAAAGCATATTTTGGACTTAAGAGAATATTTAGCCTATTTTTCATATTTTAGAGTATATTCTATTATTTTTCATAAAAAATCATGAATTAATTAATCGATTTCTGATATTTTCCAGCAACAATTTTTTCTAGGAAAAAAAATTATTTTATATAAAAATGATAAAAATTAAAAATCATTCAATTACCTACTTGTTTGTAATCAAATTGGTAATATTGGCCATTCTGTTACTCTTAATCCATGATTGTACTTACTACGGTCCTACAATAACATGATAAGAATGATTTCTAATAATAAATCTATTTTATTTTTACTTTTATATTGTTTATTATTTTAACTTTAATGTCTGACGAATTAGTTAAATTTGTAATATTCATTTTTCTTTTTTAAAATGCCGAAAATTAACAAAAGTTTAAAATATTTATATACCTATGAACTGTTTTGTATTTTTTATAATTAAATATTTTATATGTTACCACCAAAAAGGAATGGTACATAAGTTATTTATTGTTTTTATTGAATTATTTTGGAAAAAAAAACAAATCATATTATCTGCATATTTACAAGTTTAAGGAATATTTAGAGAATATTTTAGGATTTATTTAGACCATATTAGCATTATATTTTAAGCTTTTAAGAACCTAAAAATCCGCTCTTTACACATAAGACTACACCATACCTAGCTATGTATTTTTATAAAGATATAAAAACAATTAATGTGGAATCTTGTATATTTTTCAAGAATTTTGATTTAATGAATAGTTTTTTATGAATATTTATAGAAAAATATTGAAAATTTATTATGATTATAAATAGCTCAGAGTTGAAAATTTTAAAAATTTTAACAAACATTGAAAACGATAATATAAGCATTCTGTCAACATTTCAAGTATCTTTTGAATTACATCAAAACAAAATTAATTTGATCAAAAATTGAACTTACATAAAAATCCCTATTTTTTTTTTCTTGAATATTTTGAAAAATACTAAAAATAATTTTTATCTCTCCTAAATACATATTAGATTACTCAAACCAATTCACAAATTTAAAAACAAAAATAATAATATATAAATCTCTTCTAAAACCTATATGGACTTGTGGACTGCAACTTTAGGGAGCAGCCAATAAATCAAACACCAACAAAATACAAACATTCCAAAATATAACACTCCGTAAAATTACTAATGCCCCCTATTTTGTTTCAAATCATATGCTTCATAACGACCTTCATATAAAAACAATTAACGAAGAAGTCAAAACCTTCTTCAATAGATTTACCCACAAACTTTCAAATCACTACAATCCACTCATAAAAGGTCTCTACATCCCAACCCTTCCAGGGAATCTCCAACTCAGGTTGAAAATAACATGGTGTCGTGATCTTCTTAATTTAAATTAAATTAGCAAAATAAAAAATAAAATAAAAAAAATATAACTATGTTTTTCTATAACAGCTAAAGTGTCACTAATGGGTGGCTCCTTTAATCACGTCTTTCTCGTCTGTTTTATTTTTATTTTATTTTTTTTATGTACACTGCTCACATATGCTTATTGTGCTCAATTTTACAGATTGCATATTACCTAATAGAAATAAAAATAAAATAAAAAAAAAGTTATAAGTTTATAACTTATACACAGATTACAGTGAAAATTATACAGAAATTAAAATTATAATTATGTGCGACTATTAACTTAATAATTAGGGATAAAAATGTCAAACTTAAATAATTCTAGAATAATTATTTTCAGAGTTATAAGTCAAAAAACTGTAAATCGAGTGAATTTTGCAGTATTTTGGTTAAATTGCTATAACTTGGTCAATTTTGAACTTAGGAAGTTAGTTTAACTACCAAAATTCATAAAAAAATTAAGCAAAAATTAATTAATGATTAAAATAAGTGGTTACCATTAAAAAAAAAAAAGTTGTATCATGTATGTGCATGTCTTATTAAGTTAAAAATATTCAAAAGCCATAAATATGTGTATTTTTATGTCATAAAAACCAATCAAAACACAGAATTCAAATCACAGGACTCTACGCAAATTTATTGAGTGTTCTCATTTAGCGTTTACACACTGTATATTATGTTGCCAATTAAAAACACAGAAACATAAAAAATTATAGTAATAAAAAAAAAAAATATATTTTTTTTTTGTAATTCCTGAAATAATGAGTACTTTACATTAAATAAATCATTCTATATAGGATGCCTTGTATTTTATGTGACTAAAGTTTTTATAAATTTATTATTTTTTTTTAATAGGTACCTTTTATCACGTGACGAACGACGAATATCTTCACCTTGAATCTCCTTCATATTAGATGATTTTTCTAATTTAGAAAATATTTTAACTCGCCGGCCTGGTCGATGGGCTGGTTTTCTGCCACTTCGGAATCGCATTTTTTGGTTAAGCTTCTGCGCACATTGCTGAGTATTATTAAATAAATCGCCAACCTATATTAAAATATTTAAATAGAGCTTGGTTCATATGAAATAATTTAAACATTATTAATACTATTAGGTAATAAAAAAATAATTAAAATTGAGGAAACAGATTCTCAAATAAAATACTATAACTGAAAATTTTACCAAAATATAAGAATATAAGATATATGATTAAAAGTTGCCAACGAATTTAGTTCATCCATAAAGGTACAAATTGTTCACATACAAGGACAAAAAGATGGAAAGTAGATAATTGTTCTGCTATACAGTGGGTAATGAGTGTAAGTCATCTTATTAAGATTAAAATTTTAATTGGTACTACATTTAATTTTAAAAATGTAAGTTAAAAATAATTTAAAATATTATATTAATAGTAAACATACCTAGATGATGAAAAAAAAACATGCAGAAAACCATAGACAATGTAACTATAAAGACTTTAAACTCAATTTATTTATTTTTTTGGTATGAAATCATTAATAACTAGGTACAAAAATGTATTATGTATTATTTTATTATGAAAGTATGAAACAGATCGTGGATATGACCATAGATAATCAAAAACAATTAATCAAGTACTAAAATAATAAATAATTTATAATTTTTATTCTTTGTTGACCAAGTAGAAAGCTTTTTTTATAGTTCTTAGAGAATGGAATATAGGCAGTAAAAGCACAAAATAAATTTAAATTTAGTAAAGTTATCCTTTCCTATTGTTTGAATTTTTCAATCACAAGTATTTTTTTTTTTTTTTAATTATCAATTAAAGTTTTTCTGTAATTTATATAGTACCTACATTAGATACATCCCTCATTAAATAAAAAGCACAATGAAAAAAGTAACTATAAGAATAAGCAATAGAAACACATAAGTCTAAGTAAAAGAACTAAACAAATTAAAAATTACTTAGACTACCTAGATTGCTTGTTATATTTATTTAGTACTAACAAATTATTTTACTTTCACTAATTAGAATAAATATGCATGATTCTTCTTCAGAAGAATAATGTATAACATGTGCTATTAAGTTGAAACTCATTTCATAATACTTTTCATTAATTCTAACATATCAAAAATATTTAAATTACTTTAAATAAACTACATAATTGAATTAATTTAAGTAAAAATTTTTCAAACTAAACATACCTAATTCATACATTAGAAAACCCCAAGAAAATAAGTCACGAGATAAATCATGAAATTTTTACAATTCTAACTAAATAATGTCAAACCAATGAAAAATAAATAAAATGAAAATTTGTCATCAGCCATACATTAGTTGTCTTAAATTCATAATAAATAAGTATATATGTAAATTAAAATCATTATGTTAATCCTAACAATTTTTTAAACAAAATATGAGTATAGTTCTTAGTTTAGATTAATTACCTAATTGTGGTTTAACATTATACCAACAATAGAACCGACAATAATACATAAGACACTTAGACACTATAATGTAGTTTAGTACTTTAATCAACTGTAGGTATAAAATGTTAGTATGTTACGGTAGAACTATTACGACAAAGATAAGTACATCTATCTACAAAATAATAACCAAATACTCACCTCGTCCTGCAGTTTATTCATGTTTTCTTGCCGCAAAAGTTCGTATTCCGACAGACTGGCAGAAGTGGATGCCCCCTCGTTGATCACCCAAGACATCTTGTGACAGAGGCTTGAACTACTGATGTCAAAGCTAGTAACGATAAATACTAAATAGCAAAAAATGCAAGTCGGAAATCTGAAAGATGTAGCAAAACAGCACACGAGGACGAAACGCGGGAAAACGGAACAACGGCGATGAATGAAAATTTGCGACAACGAAAAACGACTAACGAGTAACGAGCAATGACGCTGTTGCCTGTTACACTATTAGTGTAGGGCGGCGGGTGACGGGCGACGGATAATGAAGTGCTGCGACCTATAACAAGTTTGTTGTAGTTATTTGGTATAGGCCTGGCGGCACGTCTATAATTATCTTAAGAGTAAAGTAAATAATAAACCGGAAAAAACTCCGTCAAAACGCGACAACGCGTTATTAATGTCACGTTATTTGATATTTTGTAATTTTGTACAACGTAGCGTTCTAGCTGGGTATAGCCATGTTTGACGGGCTATACGATCTGTAATAAATCGAACACAACGCGACAATTTGTAACGCCCGCCGCGCGATGTTAATACCGCTTTCATACGCGTGAATAAACTCGTTCTATTACTTCTATTTGATAAAGTCTTACTAGTAATAGCTAATAGTTCCGAGTACTACTAGAGTGCCGTCACTCGCCGAAGTCCTGAGAAAACTCCGCAGAAACAGAAATCCATAAGACTGAATAATAATAAATCATCTATATAATAATATGATTGTATAATATTTAATACAAATAAATTTTGTATAATATTATATTATGATGATTTCTTAGAGGCGTATAAACGGCAACAGTGCAAAACTAATAATTTCAGTTGTCTCATTGGAAATAATAACTCGTTTAATTTCCGGAATTCAAAACGCAATAACATATTATTAGCTATCGATTGTTGAACGATTATTGTTTATTTTAAACACTATATTAGGAAAGACAACGAATCGTCGAATTGTTGTCGGTGTTGTTGTTAGCCAGCATTGTTATTTTTAGATTTTCATATTACTTTATTACCCAGTGACCAAAGACAAAAAAAATTAAAACAAAATTAAAACATTTTTTTCCCGAGATTATAAATTTATAAGAGATTAGTAAAAATAAACTAGTTAAATAATTAATGTACATTATTATTTTTTTCTTTTCGTATGCGTTTTGGGAAATCGGGATTACTATAAGCGAAGGTCCGAACAGCTGCCTTGTTGACTGCCGCAGTAATTTAATAGAGTTCTTCTCATATGCCAAGAGTACCGAAATAGGTACTCGGTACTCACTAGTTTCGTCATATGCGCCGTTGTATTTTTGGACAGATAATAACACAGATCTTGGGTATATTTTTTTTTATTTATCATTATACAGATTAATTCGATTTTTACTCCTCTGTCCATTCCAATACATAAATTGAGCATTAATAGTGGTTCTCAGTAACGTAATTACGTAAGCGATGAACACCAAAATTGACCGTCAAAGCTTTGTAGTAAACCCACATTTTCACACAAAAACGAGGTCCTTAAGTTCAACTACACAACATCACGCCACCTAATCTGGTTACTAATGCTGCCACCTCATAGGCTAACACCAAGTTAGCAAAGTAACAAAATCCGTATTGATGTCAATTATCCTCTCCTTAATCATTGTATGTCTCATATAAATAGGAGCCCCTGTTACAGGGAGTTTCAGAGATTGTTAAGTAGTCATCCCAATTCATAAGTACTTGTATGGGTCACGGATTTCGTTACAGCCGCATCGCCGCCTAGGTATACGAGTACCTCCCAGTGATAGTTAATTACATACTCTCCGGTAGATTACTCATTAAATCTATCGACAAACTTCGTTATAATTTACGTGTTAATTTAATGAAAGTTATTTTATAATTTACATTCGAGCATTAACTTTATTTATAAATCTCTACCTTCAACGTAAGACGTAACAGTAACGTCACGTCACGTACCTTCGTCGTTAAAGAAGTATTGTAGCGACCGAGTAGTGAGAGCACATATCGGTTACTACAGCTTGATACTTGAAAGTCAAATAGTGTGAGGACTGTGAACTAACATTGGTAATCGAAACGTGTAGAACAAAATTTACAAATATGATAAAAATATTGAAGCCTAGATACAAATCATGCGAATACCAGAGTACCTATTGTGGGAAATAGGACGTTTCGGCGCGTAATAAATTCGGCTATATAGCAATGAACTTTATGAACTTATATCTATAATATACTATATACAGATTTGTCTCACACTCTCACTGTGCAGATAGTGGTATAGAAATATTATCTACATTATTATAAATTATTATTATTATTATTATTATTACTATTATTATTATTACTATTATTATTATTATTATTTACACGATAAGATAGTTAAAAATAGTTACGATAGTCGATAATTAATGGTTAATCTGGCTGTAGACCAGTCAGATAATTTTATAAATTTAAGTTACTCGACCATAGCCAAAAGGTGAAGTACGAATTTCCGTGTATAATAAAGTAGTTTGTGCCTTAATTTTTGAGTATGCAGTAACACAAGCTTGTATTATAAAATATCAATTAAAATTATTTAAATGGAACAACTTTATTTTTAATTGATTCTGGTAAAGCTTATTTCCTGAAAATATTGATGATAAAATTATTGTTTTCGATTCACTATTTAATATTATAAAGTTCTCCGAAGTTAAGTAAATTTAATTTTCAAGACCTAGGTTAAATAGTTTTGTTTTCTATTACATAACTAAATTTTGATGTAATCTCATATCTTTACACATAAACAAAAATCTTATTTATTTCTACAAAATACCTATATAGTGGGGAAAATATTTGTAATTTACCTACTAACCTATGACGTATTGTAATTTTATCATAGGTACAATCTATTATAAAATAAATGTTATTATTGTATAATCATATAATTGATTAGGCGCCTACTTTAAATGAAGATACATGTCTTTCCATAAATCTAACATTGACATAATATGTCTAGGAGTCACGAGTGAACATCATAAGTCTAGCGTGACCGTAAAATTATTAATTAAGGATATTGTGGGTTTTGACGTTTTTATTTTATTTTAATTAATTCATTCATTCTATATATTTGTTTTTTTTCTACACATAGAGATCATTTAACTTCGAGTTTTTAGTGTTTTCATTATACGTAGAGTTAGCTTGATTTACTTTGAAACTATATGTCCATATTATAAATTTTCTTATAAGAAGTCAATCCACAATCTGCGTATATTTTCTTTATCTTAAGCATCATGTTGGTATTAGGGAGAGCTCTCTTAAATTAATGAAAAATAAAAAGGCCATGATTTATAAAAAATGTACAGGTAAATTATGTTCTAAGTTTTTTCATTTAAAATTTTAAAACTTGAAAATTAATTATGATATAAGTAATATATTTTATTTTTTATTTTTTTATTTATAAAGCTTTCCTGACATCTGGTCATCTAAACTTAAAGCAGTAAGTAATATAACAACATAACGTATTATTTAGGAAATTACGTTTTTGTCAAATATTTTTATTATCTTATTTTACATCTTGCTTTCGGAGAAAAAAACAACTGTTAGGAATTTAAGAAAACGGTTAATTGTATTGTTGTAATAACATCTATGATTATGATAAAAATGATAATATGACTATAAAATAATCATAGTCCATTGAACATTATTCTATGATATTATTATTTATTTACCCAAATAAGTCTCATGGTTTGACTGCAAGCAGTAAAGACTGGCGACGAGTCTATATTTGCGATAAAGTACAATGTATAAATAGAAATACGATTTCAAACTATAAATATGAAATGTGCGATAATAATACCTTTTGTATCGTTATAATATACGATTATTTGTCTACATGTCCGTTCCTAGTATTCCTATTTCCTATCGGCTACCGTACTTGGTATTATTTTATATTTGTAGTATGCTGTATGCCCGTTCCTACCGTGTAGTTATTAGTCATTACTCATTAATAAATTAACTATTTATCTGTATAACATGATAATATTGAGCATTAAGCCAATTTATTTAAGCATTTTAATTAACAAATAAATGTATAGTCCGATAGGTAATAATCGTAAAATAATGAATATAAAAAAACTTAGTGGTGCCAAAAATATAAAAAGGAAAATAGAACTTGAAAAAAAATATTCAAAAATAACTGAAAAATGTCATTTTTTCAAACAAATTTATCATAAATTAATGCGTCTGATGGGAACGTATGTGAAATTTGGTTGAAAATTATGAATCATAATTATTTTTTGTTACCTACCTTTAAAATACAAGCTCTAGGTTGCTTGAAAATATAATGAAACAGTCTTTAAAAAATAAATAAATAATTTATATTATATGCAATGCAAGGTCGAAGGTCGGTATGTTTTCTATGAGTGAAAATACAGAGTCAAATCCGTTATTAGTGATAAAAGTTTTGACTTTATTATTGACTATACACACCCATCGATGTCCACCCAAAAATGTCTATAGCATGAGCATTAAAACCAAATAAATCTTTGAAATTTTGAATAATGTGATTTAATGGATGGCGGTGACTAGTCTTTAGTAGGACAATGAGCAGACCTCGCTCGGCAGCTGTAAGTCTCAACGTCTGTACTCTGTACGTTGCAATCAGACACCGCGATAATGATCACAAATATTCTATCATGGTCTTGGACACCGTACTTTTAGGCCCATTTCACATGGACGCATTTCATACTTTGCGTTCTGAACTTCTGATTCTGAATAACATAATTTAAATGAACGCCTATGATGCGCAACACGTTTTTTGATGTGCGAACGAAACACGTCCTTGCGCGCGCGCGTACTAGCTATTGGATTTATAAAAGAAAAATTAATGGTAGGTTTTATACAAAGCTTAAGAGGACGCTACTTAGGCATTTGTTGTCTCTGTCTAACAAGTGCGTAACATAACAAATTTACATTCAGTAGATTAGGTCTAGTTTCGTTTGTTTAAAAATTAGAGCAAATTGACCAATAATGAAACTTGATGGTAAGAAGATTATCTGTGTTTGTATGTGGGTGTTTTACGATAGTTAAATTTTTTAGTGAGTTTTGTGCATAGGTTAAGTTATATAGCTAATTAAAAATGCTCATAACTCATTTAAAAAAACAAATACAAAAAATGTTCTTACCATTAGGTTTCATTATAGGTCGATTTACTCTTATTTTTAAACCAACGAAACTAAATAATCTAATCTGCTAAACGTAAATTGTCCATGTTACGCACTTGTAAGACAGAGACAATAACAAATGTCCGTTTAGCGTCCTCATATACGCTCACTAATCAATTTTTTTCAAATTATATTTTTAAACTACATTAATTTCCGTTTTGGACAGAGTTACGCTACCCGAATTTATTGTTCATCAAATATAATAAATAACATACGATGTGTGTGGTACGCGTTTAAGTGAATATGAACGAAAATCGCGTTTTGATACGCGCGGTTCAATACTATGCGTCTGTGTGAAATGGTTTCATTGCTTAAATTCATATGCGCAGACAGAGCTTACTCTGGTCCGTTTTATATGAACGCGTATCGTACGT